CAGCACAGAGCCCGACGCAGGACTTGAACTCACAGAGTATGAGATCATGACCTGAGCTGAAGTCGGACGCTAACCGACTAAGCCGCCCAGGCACCCCCCAGAAATATTAATCATACAAGGGTTTGCTTATTGGGATTTGCTTTCATGTTGCATATTCATATTTCATACTGAACTCCTTCAGAAAGGGTCCTCTCTAGGTGGACCCTAGCAAAGCTGTGTGGTGTGACTTCTGAACTACTTTAGTATGAAACAAAACATGGACCTGTTGAGTGGGAAGAACAAAGGAATGTTGTCTTGTAAAGAACTTCTTTCATTGAGCATCTCCTCGGTGTGCAGGTACTATATGAGGGTGCTCTGGGAATATGCCAAATAAAGAGGAAGTAAGCACTCCATCCTTCAATTTCTTCCACTCTGGCTATTCAGTTTCTTACATCCTAGCTGTTCTCTACATGTATGAGACAACTAGAAAAGTGATCTGCCTGCTTTTGTCCCACAGGACATGTCAGAAGGCGTGATGCACTGCACAGCTAATTCTAGTTCACTGCAAAGCAATTCAGGAAATGGGATACCAGAATATCCCCTGGGAGACAGGAACATAGATGAGCACACAGTCTTACAAAGCCTGAGTGAATCCCTTACCTCCCCTAAGTGGTTCCCTTCCACCAACCTTCCACTGGAAAATAATCAAAAGCAAAGTGCAAAGTTCAAACAACTGCTAATTACACTGCACGGGGTTAGTGAGAAAATGCTTCTTGTTGGAGGAGAGGAGATTGTCATTACATCTTACTCTTTCTTACCCCAAACTCTCCAATGACTTCTTAGGACATGTAAAATAATACCTAAATCTTTGACCTTAACCGATAAGGCCCTATGTGGTCTGGCCCCCGCAGCCTCCTGGGCCTTCTCTCTTACTCCTCACTCACTGTGCTCAAGTCCAGTTAGCCTACTTCTGTCATTAGGACACAGCTCATTTCTGCTTCTAGACCTGAACGCTGTGTCTTCATTCAGGGAGTCCCTTGCCAACAGTCTCCATTAGGCTGCCTCCTTCTTATCACCTCCTCAGAAAGGTGCCCCTTAGATCAACCCAAAACTATCCCTCCCTCTAATCATTCTCTATCACATCATCTTATTTTACTTTCCCCATAATATATTATTCTCTAATTTATTTATTTGTTTGCTTGTTTGTATGTTGATTATTATTTTTCCCTAAACAATGGGTCTGAGCTGTCACTCTACCATTTTATCCCTCATACCTTGAAGAGTTACCTCTCATAGAATAGGCATTCATTAATTATTTGTTCAGTTAGTGAACCAATCAGTAAATGTTCAATGAAAAAAGTAGAAGAAATCTTTATTCCAAAAGTTTTAGGCAAAAGTGCAAGTGGAAGGACAAGCAGGGTGACCCCATGATGGTCATGATAATGAAGCCAAATTGACTAAACAGAATATTTTAATTAATTAGCTATGAAAAATGGGACAGATGGAAGGATGGGAAATATACATGATGGATAACAGATTTGATTGTCCTCAAGAATGAGATATAAACCATTCCTGGACAGGAAAAAGTCATGGTAAAGACAGTCCTCTTGATATCCCTTTGCAGCATTGATTTATTGGGGAATCACTAGGAGACAGTTTTGGAAAATCTAAGCATATTATTAAGGGCCTGGTTCTAAGAAGTAACCATAGAGGTGTCTGGGTGGCTCAGTCGATTAAGCATCCAGCTCTTGGTTTTGGCTCAGGTCATGATCTCATGGTTCGTGAGTTCAAGCCCTGTATTGGGCTCTGTGCTACTTAGGATTCTCTCTCACTCTCTCTCTGCCCCTCCCTTGCTTGCACATGCTCTCTTTCTCTTGCTCCCTCTCTCTCAAAATAAATAAATGAACTTAGACAAGAGAAAAGAAAAGAAAAGAAAAGAAAAGAAAAGAAAAGAAAAGAAAAGAAAAGAAAAGAAAAAGGAGGGGAGGGGAGGATGGGAGAGGAGAGGAGAGGAGAGGAGAGGGGAGGGAAGGAGAGGGAAGGAGAGGGAAGGGAAGCCATAAAGGGGTGCCTGGGTGGCTCAGTAGTTTAAGTGTCCGACTTCAGCTCAGGCTCATGAGTTCAAGCCCCACCCCCACCAGGCTCTCTGCAGTCATTGCAGAGGCTGCTTTGGATCCCCTGTTTCTCTCTCTCTGCCCCTCCCCCACTAGCGTGCGCATGCGCGCTCAGGCCTCTCTCTCTCTCTCTCAAAAATAAACATTAAAAAAAATAGAGGGGTAGCCATAAAAAAGGAAAGAATTAGTTTGAAGATATTGCAGAGATATATTCATGGTACATTATGACCTATTGCTTATGATTGTGAGTGCAGGGAGGGTCAATGGGGAGTCAAATCTAAATTATCAAATCCAAAACAAGTATGAAAAGGCTTGATGTGTTCTGGGATGTCCAAGACACCTGATGTGCTAAACAATAAGCTAAAAGCAAAAGCCCATAGAAGTATGAAGGACAAAATCTGCGGGTTGGGACACCACCCTCACAGAGTAATATACTTTGAATTAGCTCAACCATTATGATTTTATTGTTACTTCTTTACAATTTCTAATGAAACCTTTAGGCTTGCTTTACAACTTATGCATTCTAATTTGCTCTACAACCAAGTTTAACTATTCAAAAGAACAAATTTACCTCACTTTATCTAAAGAAATGTCATTCTTCAGGTAACCGACTAAGTGTTTTTGTTATCTTTTAATGTGATAATAAATAAACTGATAGTAATAAAGAATATGATAATAAAGAATGTAAGACAGTAAGAAAGCATGGGAAATTGAAGGCCCAACTAGGAAATTCACTCTAATTCCTCACTATTCCATGTAGAACAAAGGGCTTAACTGTTGCCATTTAAAAGCCACAAGTGTTGGGGCACCTGGGTGGCTCAGTCAGTTGAGCATCTATCTGACTCTTGATTTCGGTTCAGGTCATGGTCTCAGGGTTCTTGAGATCTAGCCCTGCATTGGGCTCTGTGCTGAAGGTGCCTAGCCTGCTTGGGATTCTTTGTCTCCCTTTCTCTATGTCCCTCCCCCACTCTCTCCCTCTCTCAAAATAAATAAGCTTTTTAAAAAATCTAAATAAATAATAAATAAATAAATGCCACACGTTTTAATTAGAAAATATAGTGTCAAGTGTAGACAGACACCTAGAATTATTTGCAGATTATTTTGACTAATATACAAAATTTTCTTGAATTGTGATAGTAAAAGTAATACCATACAATCGCATGGCAGTTTTTGGCTAACAGAGCATTTTTTGCATATATTATTTTCATTGCTCCTAATCACACCTCCCCAGATTAGTCAAGGCAGACATTCTAGTCCCAATTTAATGGATGGGAAACAAAGCCCCAGAGACTGTGAGTGAATCAAAAGGATAAAACCAGCACCTTAAAAGTAGAACAGCAGGACCCAAAACCAAACTTCCTAGTCTCTGGGTCAAAATTCTCTCCAGAATCTAAATAATAAGAAATGAATTTAAAAACAACTAATAATACAGGTAAGGTAACAAAAGTATTAAGTATCTCTTTATCTGCTGGATGTAATCTGTTCATTTATTTTTAATTTTTTTTAATCGAGTGTCTTCAGT